TGGGGGTGCCTGTTTCGTGGTTACAGGGGGCTGTTCGATGGCACAGAGGGGGTTGAAGCATAACTGTTTCACAAGTGGTGTGTTGGGAGGGGATGGGGGGTCTTCAGGGGATTTAGGGGGGGCCTATTTCGTGGCTACAGGGGGCCGTTCGACGGCTCAGAGGGGGGGAAAATACAAAACAAAAAGGATTCAGTCAAGAGCAGCACAAAATCACAACTCCACAGCATTTTGCAACATCAAACCAGGCTCATTACAGAGGATTCAGTCGACAGCAGCAGTGCAGCACAGAAAAAAAAAAAAAAAAAACTCCATTATAGTCTCACTGTCCCGACGTCCATGAAGTCATCGAAAACACAGTCCACCCCGGACATGGATAAAGAGACGAGGAGGAAGAAGCAGATGACAAAGAAGTGGAAGAGGAGGGAGCAGTAGAAGAAGAAGAAGAAGAAGAATGTTTCACACAAAAAACGGGCCTTTGGGGTGGGGGTGGCCGCCGCACAAAAATGCGCCAGGCCGACCCCGCCGATCGGTCGGCGCCGACGGCCAAAACGGTCGGCGGGTCGGCGGCCGACCGACCGAGGCCCGCCGACGGTCGGCATGTGCAACCCTGGTCCAGAATAGATCTATTAGGGAAGGTGATATAGGAGCAGCCTCCCCTAGTAGACCAAGGATCGGCCGCTCCGTCTAGTATTGTGAGCCGCACCTGCTGGAAACCGTGCCCAGCGTCCCATGCGCTCAAAGTTGAAACAGGTTCCAATAAGAACGAATGGGACGCGGGAAATCGGGTCCAGGTCCAGTGGATTTGGTGAACCATATTCTGCCGACACCTGATGAATCGACTCCTCTTCGTCCGTCCAATTATAGGCGCCACATATTTCTTACTCAACAACCCTGGATGTGACTTCACCAAATTCAAAGATAAGGCCAGATTTGGGCACATAATGGGGGCGGGCACAGAAATGGCCCACCATAAGACCAAAAAGGGGAAAGCAATGTATTTTACAGAGGCCATTATTGGTTATTTATTGCAGTAATGAGTGATGTAACAAAGAGAAAAGAGTGCCAATTAAGAAAGTCAAAAATAAAATAAAAATAAAAATAAAAATTCAACCTTGTTGTAATTGGCATAGACTTTTACCAAGCCCTCGCGTGAAGTCAAGATTGCGATTATGTTCAGGATTATAACCTAGAAAAGTGGCTCTAAGCGTCCTTCGGGACATCCGTCAAAATAGGAACGATACAGAGCCTGAAGATTAGCATGACCCCTGTGGAAGGATGGCACGCATAAATCGAGAAATGGTCCGAATTAAAAAAAAAAAA